CCCCAAAACCCCAAAACCCCAAAACCCCTATTTAGCGAAGAAAATTGAAATAATATATTTCTGGGTTCCAGAGTCTAGCAACATGAAAAAGAGTGTGAATAAACTTCCTACAAGAAACATCAAAGTTCCTCAAGGCTGCTACGGGGAATGAGCATCCAGCCAAAACCAAAGTATGCAGTTGCAATTTTGGGGATTTAAATTTATATAGAGAACAACTCGAGCTTGAACAAAACTAGCAGCGACTGGAGAGACATGCAAAAGAGATACAAGCTTCATAAATTCCTCCAGAATCATTCAAGAGATGATATTTTGTCACATTATGAGTATAACCACACTAAGCTAAAATAAGAGGCTGTATAGTTCTAAAATGAGCAAGAAAAAGAGTACCCCTTTCTTTTAATTCTATATAGACTCTGGGACTTATATTCGTCTGAAAACAGCTATGTCTAAGAACAAGACCTTCTCGAAAGACACTCCTTTTGCATCTAATTTCATAAATTTTGATCCTGAGAAATCATTCAAGAGAACATCGAAGAACTATTTAAAAAACTCCCACTGTAATTCCCTGGTAAAATTTAAATAGATAAAAAGAGCAGTAGATTAAGCGATGCAAAATACAAGACCAATATGAATTTCAATGAGAGAGGATTTCAAGGCTTTGGAGATCCAGTAAGCTCTGAGATTTATCATAGGACCAGTCCTTGTCCCAACCACTACTACCAACATCAAGTATTTCTATTGCAAAAATCTTGGCGTCTAATAACGAACCGGTCAAGCCAGAGAAGGAGTCTAACATCTCAATTATGAAGATCCAACATAAAGAACTCAGAGAAAAGGCACAGAAGTTCTTAATCCAAGAAGCAAATTATAAGAGTGCTTCTATCCTAAATCCAAAGTTTGAATCCTTCAGGGGTCCCTTTGATGATTTTGGATCATTAGATAATCCTGGAAGTAGTAAGAATTTCTAAAATTTATATATAGACATCATTGAAAGCAATTTTTCCTTCATCAATTTTAACCAGAAAATCAGTACCAAGAAGATCATGAACAAGGAACGCATCTTCAAGGCTCCTGCTGATGTAACCCCAACTTGATATTTTAGAGAGCTGAAGAGATATACCAGATAATTAAGGATATGAACTCCTCTATTCGAGTCAAAAAGTCCTGAGATGCCCTGAAAAAGCATAAATCTAGGCTGAAAGTTAGTAATAAAAGAAATTCATTAAAGCTTATGGAAAAGCGAAAGGACTACCGCATTAGAAATAAACTCAAACGTGGAATTCTAGGGCAGGTATAGAGTCTATAGTTAGAATTTAGAGAGTCAGGCCTCAAAACTCCTTTCAGACTTTACAAACTGCAGGTCTTGCCTTTGGGAATTCTCATGTGGATTTGAAAATTAATGGTAATAATAACAATAGTCCTGAGCACTCAAGAAATATACAGGTGCTAAAGCTCAAAAAGAAGCAGTCAGACAAAAAGGGGTTAAACAGCTCGGAATGGTCTGTCAGGAACCATAGTAATATTCCGATGAAAAGTGTGATGACCCATGTAAAATCCACTCCTCTTAAATAAGCCCAGTGGTAGAAGGATAAAAGATAAGATGAAGACCAAGATAAAACAAGCATATGAAATACATAATGAGTTCAAGTATCTGTCTCGAATTACCTCATTTATAGAATGTTCAGGTCTCTTAATTCCAGTAGATGAGATTCAGTCAAGGAATCTCATAGCTCCTTTGTGTTCGACCGGAGCAACTCCAAAGATCCAGAGGGGAATGTCATCGAGATAAATTCGGATATTGACTAGGAGTTACATAATTCTCAACCATCAAGTGATGCTTGGGGTTTTGGGGTTTTGGGGTTTTGGGGTTTTGGGG